TAGATGGCGGAAAGTGATAGTTCGAGGGTGGATTGGATGAATGCGGATATTATACGTTATTTGTATCGTAAGATGGTAGAAAGCATACTGGCAATTGGGAGGCAGAGAGGTGGTTTTGTGTAGAGTCGATGATGTAGAAGTCTAGCCAAGTGTCAGATCTGCTGGTATGGTGGATGGAGGAAAAAGGAATGATGAAGAGGTGAAGTGAGTGAAGTGAATATGTCACCGGAGATGATTATTCTGGGATAGAGGTTAATGAAATTCAATAGGATAGATTCAAAGGACGGGTTTAAAGACAATAACTTTTATTTTTCCGAAATCCCCCCCCCACAGACCTCATTACCATTATAATGAAAGCCCGAACCAATTCCGTAGGCCCAGATGGCATTCCTATTAAACTAATAAAATTACGTCCCCCTGAAATCCTCTCAGCTCTCCTTTTCAACTACAATTTCTCCCTGCAGAATTCAATATTCCCGACCTCTTGGAAAAAAAGCCATTGTCCTTACTTTGAATAAAAATTTGAATTGAATAAAAATCTAATCCGACCTCACCTGAAGATTTCCGCTCAATCTCAATTCTTTCCAACCTCTCAAAACCCCTGGAAAGATTGGTGCAATCCCAAGTCTCCAACATCCTTGAAACGTCCAACCAACTTGATCCTCTCTAATCTGGTTTCCGTCCCAGCTACTCCACACAATCCGCCTTAATTAAAATCACGAGCGATAAATGATAAAAAGTTAACTATCCTTATCCTTCTCGACTTCTCCAAAGCCTTCGATTCCATTAACCATTCCATCCTTTTTAACAAACTGAAATTATTATTATTCTCCAATAGTTCCATCTCTTGGTTTCAATCTTTCCTTTCACAGCGTACTCAAGCAATCTCCATACCCATTCAACCACTATCTGCCTTCTTTTCTTTATCCTCTGGAGTTGCCCAGGGTTCAGGCATATCTCCTCTTCTTTTCAGCTCATTAACGACCTACATAAATAAATTCTCCATTGCTCCCACCACCTTCATGCAGACGATTCTCAGATCTACCTATCATTTTCCCCTCCTGAGATATTGGGAGCATTTGGTTAGATCCAAAAAGACCTAGATCGAATCAGTGCCTGGAAAAATGTAAACGGATTAAGGTTAAATGCTGCCAAAACTCAGGCCATTGTCATTGCTTCCAAGCCCCTTCTTAGATCCGATACCGACTTTCCCATACTACACCTTAATGACCAGCCTATCTGCTTCTACTTCTCTGTTAAAAATTTAGGATTTTTCATTGATAAAAACCTCTTCTGAAACACCATATTTCTCACATCTCTCGACCGACAATTTCCACTCTCAAACTATTTCATCGCTTCCGCCATCTCCTACCTCAACATACACGTAGACTCCTAGTTTCCTCTCTCATTTTCCCCCAGTTTGACTACAGCCGTGTGGTGTATGATTGCCTCTCTGTGGAGCACCGTGATAGACTGAAAAGACTAATGAACAGTTGCGTAAGATTTGTGATTGGGGCCCCAAGATACACCCATGTCTCTCACCACTACGCTGAGTTAAGGTGGCTTTTTCCCTCCTTCCGAAGACTATATTTCCTTGGTACGTTCCTCTATCAAATCATCAACAATCATCGTCCTTCTTACGCCTACAACCTTCTCCACTTCAAATCCTCAGTCTATTCCATTTCCACAAGATCTCGACCTTCTAACCTTTACATGCCTTCTCACAGATCTACCTCATTCGAAAACGCCTTTATTGCTCGCTCTGTTAATTCCTGTAATTCCATCCCTATCAAAATTCAACATTCCCCATCCATATCCACATTCAAAATCCTAATATTCCAATCAGATAGTTGCTAACCATTTGACAACATACATTTATTTTATGCCATTCACTTTCAAATATCAATGGTATTCTTTGCTAGAGATATTAATTTTCTTATAGGTTAAAGATTTTCCTACTCTTGTTGTCACTGAACCATCTATTGATAGTTTATAACTATAACTATTATCATTTATATACCATTACATTCTTGCCTACTGTTAAGTTAAGAAATGGTGATGGTGTATTTATACATTAATCAACATTTAAATGATAATGTATTTATATATTAATCAGGCTCTTTATATTGTCAGGTTCAGCTTTCTGTTTTCTCAACAGAAACACAAAGTTTATTTTAATGAAAAATTTAATATATATTTTTTTCTTTTTTCTTTTCTTAAAAGTATAAACTGGTCTATCAGTGCGAATAGCGTTAAGTGTCTTGTCATAGTGTTAATTGTTTTGTATATAGTTTCGTTTGTTTTGTATATAGAATGTTTATCTTATATTTTCTTTGTATTATCTATTTTTTTCTACTGATTTTATTTAGGCCAGATGTAATCTTTTAATTTTGTTCTATTTTGTTATTCTCAAGAGACTGTATCCCAGAATATAGTTATTTTCTATCTATCTATCTAAATCTCTATGGTCTGTAGGGATGGCGAGGGGGATCAATTTTCAAAATTAAAGCAGAAGAAATTTCCTTATGTAAAAGTTTTATTTGTTATTTTCATAGAGTCAGTAGTTGGGGAGAGAGAGGAGGTAATACAAGTTAAACTTACCAAGGTGGATGAATATGTTTCATCTATGAATCTTCATATTTATAATTATATTTCAAATTTGGTTCTACATTCTCTTCATCTGTTATCTTCATTAAGAATAAAGATTTATGTTAAAGGATATCTTACCAGTGGATCCACAGACCAGGTACATTACATCAGATTAAGTACCTAAGTTGTAGAAATGAAACTCGACACTTTTCAGATTGAAGTATTATCTTGATATTTTATTTTAAAAAGATCTTTGGGAATGTATTTAATCAAATTTCTGTAGCTTAAAAACATGACTAGGTGATTACCATTCGATTAAAATATTTACTTGATACTTTGCAGTTGAGCTGCTCTGGAAACCTGTAAATTTAATTCCGTAGAGAAAATGTGCACTTAACATGAATGTGGCAACCAGATAAGTCAATTCTTGCGGAGGAAAATTTCCTTTTTTCTCTTCATGGCTTCATGGGTTAATTTCAAAAGGAAAGATGAGATCTCAGATAAATGGATACAGCCTTTTTTTTTAGATTTCAAAAGGTTACCAATTTCATGTGGATTACCATTTTTCGGTAGCTTTTGGCATATTATTGCATAATATAAGTATAAGAAAGATCTATCTGTATATAATTTTGCTTACAATAAACTGGACCAATCACTAACGGATCCAGGATTTAATTTTGGGGTCTTCACAGCCCGAAAGCTCCCCCTCCCCCGTAGATTCGCGTGGGACCAATCTACACAAGTTTTTTTTTTTTCAATATTACTTATTTTTTATTTAAAGCCACCAAAATGGCTCAGGACAAGAAAAGACCACTTTTAGTGGAATCACTCACCAGCTTTATGGTGGAATACCTTTAGTTGACATTCAGCAAGGGCAAAAAGTTATTGCACACGCAGTTATTGGTATACAAATTGAAAACAATAAAATTTCTTGGAAAAAATTTCACATGCCTAAATTTTCTAAAACTGAATTTAATAGTTTAAAAAATACTGCTTCTGTACATTAGAGTTGATAGATGGTTATCATGTGGACAAGCATTGTATTTAAATCTGACTGAAGTATCTCCTATTTGTATATTAATAGCAATAATTATAAAATCCAATATTCCGTCCTATCTCTATTTCGCACCTTAGTATATTTGATACTTTTTAAATTTTGTTCAAATAATCAATCTTTGCTCACCTAACAAACTTTTACATTCAGCTGTTATGAGGGCAAGATAGCAAATCACATGTACTTAAATGTTACCAATTGTTAAAAAGAATTTCTTCTCTTTAACAATGAAATGAACAAATATTGTTCCAGGATCAACCTAGATTATTGAATTATAGCACTGCCAAAAGTAATTATATGATATCAGTGAATGCCTTAGTGGGGGGTCAACCTGGAAAGAAGCACGCTTCAAGTTGAGGATTATAAAAAAATTAGAAACTCTATTAATAAAGCAACTGAATTAGAGCCATGTTAAAAGAAATATCATCCCAATATAAAGTAATGTACAATGTTCTTCACATGGGTCTCATTTCCTTCTCCTGATTAAATTTTTATTTTTATGGGGAAGGGGATGGGCTCATGATATTAAATACCATTTAAGTAGTACTGAACATTTTGAATTTTATCGACAGATATGTGTATGAAAAAAATGCATTGAATTACAAAAAAGGATGTAAAATTACAAAACTTATTATTACAGCATTTCTTATCCTAAACCATCCTTTATGTTGTTATAGTACTGGTGATGGTAATATTCACATGACACAGTGTTAATATAGTTTTATGGACATTTCATAACTGTTAATACAGAAACTATGTTGCTGATAGTTAGCTTAATATGATGACAATGTGCAGTTCCTAAAATTTGTGTAGGTGGAACTGAATTTTTTTTCTACAGTTGGATGATTAGATTTTTATAAAACTTTTTTGTGGTCTGAGTATTGAAGCCAGCAAAGCAATTATGTGCATCACAGTCAAAAGAAACCAATTTTTAGAGTTATTTATTTCACCAATTCATTTCCTTTTATTTTTTAATAATAAGTCACTACAAACATTATTGATAACTCTTATTTTACAAAAAATCAAATTTGTTTGTAACCAACATCCTACGAATTTATGAGATTACCACATTTTTTCTGAATATTTAATTTCAATTGATTTAGGGTAGGTTTTTCTCAAGGAAAAAAATAGAATCAAATTTAATACATTATTCAATTTTTATTTAAAGCTTATAAATTCCAAACAATAAATTAAAATATCATTTAAAGTATAGAAAATGCTTTTATTAACATTTCTAGTCAGCTTGAATTATTTGTGTTTTACCAATATAAAATATTTGCTCAGTAAAAAAAATAATGTAAAAAGTTTATGTAGCTCAAATTTAAATTGGAAACATTTGATTATCTTAAGAATTATCTCAGGCTTCTTCCAAGACATCAGATAATACCTCACAAATTTCATTTGTTGTAATTTTGTTATAAATTAATTCGGATTCTGGAGATTGTGGTTCTTCAACCAATGGCTCTGTGTCAGATTCCCTCTGTGCATCATGAGAACGTAAATCGGTAACTTCTTCTATTATATGTTCTAAGTCATCTGGCCTTTCAATTTCTATTTCTATGATTTTTTCCTGAGGAGTTTTATAATCATTGGAGGCTTCTGTGTTCAGCCTATTCAGGAGATCCTCTGATCTGATTTCTTTAGTATTTATCGAGTCTTCAAATTCGTCTTGGTTGCTAGCTACTTCTGTAGATCGAGTCAGTTCAGGAGTTTCTCTTAATGTGGTTTTGTCCTCAAGACCAAGTATATCTTGCCCATTTCCACTTTCCTGATACATGTTTTCAATTTGATTGCTTGTGACTACTACTTCAGTAGTTTCCTGGACCATTGAAGATACTATGACCTGCCTAGTTTGAAACATGGTTTCTTCGGCAGTTTCTATAATGCTTTCTTGAATATTTGACGAAACATCATTTTCACTTGTCAAAATATTTTCACTTTCTTTTTTATCTACTACTTCAAGAACTTTTTCATCATTTTCAATTATAGTTTTATTTAAATTTTGCTCTGAAATATCTTTATTTTCTTCTGCAATTTGATTTTGAATGCCTTCAGATGAATTCTCTTCGATATTTTTTATGTTACTTTCTTCATTCTCAGCAGTAATATTTTCTTCTTCTGTTGCTATTGTCATTTGAGGTGTTACAGGAGATTCTGCAGCTATTGGAGATTCTTCAACTATTGGAGGTTCTGCAGCTATTGGGGTGTCTATAGCAGTTGGAGCCTCTGTAGCAATTAGAGTGTCTGTAGTAATTGGGGTGTCTGTAGCGATCGATGATTCTGTGTCTACTAGTGGTTCGGTAGCTATAATAGAATCATCCTTGATAAGTTCTGTATCAAGTTCATTCTTTGATTCATTTATTATCCCTTCTGCAAGAGTATCAGTTACTGGTCCCTGCCTTACAACTTCTGTAGCATCAGATAAATTTGGTTCTTGAGTGTTGGACTGTTCCTCTTGCACTTTTTCTGGTTTTATTATGATCTCAGTTTCTGAAACTTCCTTTGGTTTCTCATCATCTTGTGGTTTTGTTTGAAATTTTACTTCTTTTTCTTCCGATTGAACTTTTGTTTTTGTCTTACGGGACGATTTTATGCTTTCTTTTCGTTGTTTAGGTTCAGCATTGATTTCAATAACTCTCTCTTCTGGTTGAACAATCGGAAATAGCTCAGGTGCTAGTTTTGGTTCACTTGATTTTCGCTGTGGTTCTTCTGCTATGTGAGTGTTTGAAGAATTTATTGTATCATTAATTTCAGATACATGATTTTCATATGTTTTTGGGTCTTTTGATTTATATTTATATGGTTTAATTTCCCTTTCAATAGGTATGACAGTTTCATTTTCAGCTTGGGATTTATAAGTTGAAGTTTTCTTTTCTGAAGGGTCATTCATTGCTGCAGCAGTAGTTTTCTTATTTTCATCAGCAGAAATTTTACTTTTTCTTTCTTTAAGGATCTGTAAAATTAAAAAAAAAAAATTTTAGTTTTTCTCTTAAAATAACTGTAAATGTGATCATCAGTTGTATAAATAATTAGGTGTTTGGAAAATTAATTCGAATTAAAAAAGTAAATAAATACTAATCCATACATTTGTTATGTGAAGCTTTTCAGTGCTAGTTAGTGTTCCATTTCGGTTATCTGGTTGTAGTCTTAATAAGTAAGAAGCAAATCCTGAAACAATAATTGTGAATCCTTAATAGTTTAAATTATCATTTAAAGTGAAATCAAGATTTATGAAAACAATGCCACATTTCATATTTAAAGCATATTTGAACCTAGTTTTCATTAAAATATATATTTAAATTTTTATCTTCTTTAAAATTTTTTAGTTTAAATTAAGATTTAATTTTCTCTCTCACTATCCCATTTCAGAAAAAATGTCCAAAAGGACAGAACTATTGTCATCTGGTCTTGTAGTGGATTATACTGGACTAAATAGCAGCTTTGACTAATTTCCAATGATTGCGCCAATTAAAAAAATGATATGAAGTACTGGTATCCATTTGTACATAGGGCTCTCGCCTGGCTTTTAGATATATGGGGCAAAATTTTACCAAGCCTTCCCCTCACCCACTTTTTAATCTGCCAGTTGGCTATTTTCTCATGTTCGCAAATTATTCCTGTTATACCAAGATATATCTTTGCATTTTTACCAATCACCGATATATTTTGAATCTCTGTAACTTTTTAAACAGCAACTAGAACTGAAGTTATAAATAAAAATGTCTACAAAAGAAGTTGTCATTTATTAATGTGAGTAGTGTCAAAACATGAGGGCTACTTTCCCCAGGTTTCAACAACAAAGTTGAACCATTCCAGATTTCGCCTCAGACTCAATACCTCTTGCTACACGATCAGTGTAAGTTCCAGCAGAGGTGAAAAACAATTAATCAAAAAGTGAAATGCAGATAAAAACATTACTGTTTTCATAAATATTATATATTTTTGTCCCCAATCCGTGGCATACTATCAGCCTTCAAGACATGGGGTGACCACCCTGGTCACCCTTCCATCGCATAGATCTTGTTCTGAAATTTCTTTTTGTTATTATGTCATTTTACAATTGATATACTCTTTGTAACAATTTTGCTACAAAAAACAATTTATGAAAAGAAAGATTGTATTAATTTTGTGAACACTATTCAAGGCTTCTATAAAATTTTCAAACCTACTGGCCTACCCTTTTTAGAAAGAAAAGAGAAAATATATTGTCAACATAATCTGTTTAAATCTGAGCTCATCAAATTATAAATTAACATAAACAGACAATCAAAGTTAAATAGTTTATTATTCTGTCATATCTTTACATTTACATTACTGCAAACAAATATGAATAATGACCTATTAAAAGATGTATTAATATAGCTTTTAATAATGGCTAATTATTTTCATATATTTTATAACTAGTATGTTTAATATTTACAATTTTATTATTATATTAATGATAAATTATCAATGTTGTAACAATTGTAGAACATAAAAAGAGCCCAATTTTAATTAAAACTAATTTTATTTTTACTGTTAATTTTTTTTATATTACTTTGGATGTATTTATCATGACCATATCATTACCTATAATTAAAGGTAAAGTATCTTTCATCTTAGAAAAAACTAAATTTACATCTTTATGGAAGCTTCATTTGTCAAAATCTTGCTAACAAAATAAATTAATGTTAATTTAAATATATTGCTAAATTTATTTAGAAGCATTATTATATGTTATGAAAACCAAACATATTTTGTAATGTTTTTCTACTTTCAAACAAAAGTTAATTAATTCAGAATAATAACACAATTGTTTTTATTAATTTAAAACATGTTTTAAATAATATAAAGAACCTAATTAAGTGATTTGTTCTTGATGTCATAAAATTTGGTTTAGATAAATATTAACTGCATTAGAATTTTAAGGTAAATGCATCATAATTAACCATTTATATATCTCAAGCATAATATACATTGTTAATAAATGATAAATTTAAAAGCTGCAATATTTATATATATATGTGTGTATATATTTACAATAGCAGTGTCTGTTTTGGAAACCTCTACCTTTTTTATATTTCATATTTTATGCATTAATTTAATTATTTTAAAATATATGCAACTTAACTATTAAAGAAACGAATATATGCCAAACAAATATTCATGCTCAACTCAAGCATCATAAACTTTGACATCCAGACATTAACAGGACAGAAAACGGTTGCTACAAAATTGGACGAAGACTTAAATAAATTATTCTGGCACAAACCATTAGTAACTTTTTCACCTGTTTAAGCGACATTTTAAGTTATTTTTATTCATAATTTAACATTGGTCCTTTCCTTCAGATGATTCAACCACTTCTTTTTTTTCTTCCTTAGATTTTCCTAGAAAAAATCTTTTTTGAACTGTTATTGGAAAAATAAGGAAGTCATAAATACTGAGTTTTTTTTTAAATTTGTTTTGGTTTGTAAAATTTAGATTAAAAAAAAAATATACCAAAGGAAGGTGTATTAAAGTGGATACTAAAGTGCAGACATCATACTAATATCACTTCAGTTATGTTAGGACCTGTTCTTTGTAATGACCAGTTATGTTATTTTTGTTTAGAATGAATGTGTATTTCTCTCAATGTATTTTAATTTTAATTGTTATTTAAATTATACTGGTTGTCAATACAGGAGTGCAAATATAAATATTCACCTGGCCAAGAAATATTTATCGTTATATTAATTTAAACTTGCATTATTAATTTTTTTCAATGAAAAAAAAAGCAAGTCATAAATGAGCAATCACTGTCTGAATTTATTAGATAATATGATTTATTTAATTAGTATAATTGATTTGGCATTTGTATGTATATATACATATACACGTATAGATTATATCAATGTAAGAGTCAATATACATAAAATTATACACTTAGTTCATTACTATAAAGCCATATTTCAAACAACTTAAAATTATTCAATAGTCTGATAGAATTTATTAATTTATCAATATTTTCTTTTAAGTCCATATTATAATAAATTAAATTTCATACATTCCAAGATAAATAAAAGTTAAAACTTTACTATTTCAAAAATATCAACAATAACATGTTTTTAATATTTCAATCATAGAGTACAGTCAACTATTTTTGTGCCTGGAATACAACGCTAGTGATTAGGTAAAATTTATCCTGTGGTGAGGATAGAAAAACTTGAGATGACTATTTTGTATATGAAATCTTCCCCAAACTAAATTGTTCTCTTATAATTTAGGGTAAAAATAGTTCAGTAATCTTCTGTTATTTTTAATAAAGAAATGACTTGCAGGATAATAAAATATTAATCCTTCTTAGGTCTGCTCAGAACCATCCTTAGTTTTTTTCTTATGCCATGTTCATAAAAACATAAATACATGTATGAAATTACATTATATTTTTCCTTTAAGTATTTTTGGCAAATTTTCAGCTTATAATTAATAGTGATTTTTTTTTCTCACAAAAACTATGATTGAGGTATAACCTTACCCCACTTATTATTTTACATTTGTAAAGTTTTTGTTAAGATTTCATTTCATTTATTGTCATTAATTTTTCCTTACAATCTTTACAGCATTTAAATTTAGACAGGACAAAAATCTATGACAATTAGGAGGGGTGTATACCATATCCAGTATTTAGTATTTTTCTTCACCTGGTATTGTGGAGGTTAACTTTAATTTTATGCATATTCATTGGTTTAGTTTTCACTGTTATTTATGTTCAAATTTTTGTAAATTTTCTAATTATTTTTATGAATATTACATGTTTTGACACTTGGTTCCCATATCATAAGAGTATTTTGGCAACTCTGGTATCTAATTTATCTAGATAAATCAGACTGTACAAAATTTAGAATTCAATTCCAGTAATTATTGAACATTTAAACGAATCGTAGGGTTGCTGTGCAAATTAAATTTGAATCAGATTTGACCCTGATATTATCTGACCAATAAAATGCCTTTACACAAACAATAAGAAAAACAGCTTAAAGGTCTTTAACATGCTGCCTATTTATTTAGATGAGGTATTCAAAATCCCTGTCTTAATATAACTTCTTGTTGTTTACTATTCTCCTCAATCGCCACGACAAACCATCACTGGGGATTCTTGGCATCCACAAGCAACTTCTACAACTTTAATTGATGAAGTGCAACTGTCCTCCAATCCCAAACTCCAAGCAGGGTCCTTGAATCCACTGCAACACCATCCATCCATCACAGCTTGGGGTGGTCTCTAAGTTGGGTTTCATGCAATCTTCATCAAGCAATTTGTTATCTTATCTTACCATCCTAGCCACATGGCCCACCCAGCACAGCCTCTTGAGCCCTTCTTCATAATGGACCATTCTTCAGTGGGCCAAAGATGCACCCAAGAAGTTTCCTGTCAAAAGTTTGGAGGTCTCGAATCTTTGAGTTTTCACCAATCTTTGAGAACGCTCATGTTTCTGCTCCCTAAGTAAGTACTGGTCTGATCAGCATCTTTTTCGTCTTCTTCTCTGTTCTTCACTCTAGATGGCAATGTCAGGAAGTAAAAATATAAAATTAGTGGTCCTTCTCAAGTCCTCCAGACTTCTGAACATCTTGGTCCCAAGGTCTGTGGGTTAGAGCCATATCTACCTCCGCATTTCCTCCACCAGCTGACAGCTTTGCAGAATATGTTCTATGGTTTGTTCATTTTGGCCACATTCAAATACGAGACTGGGTCCTATCATGGACTTCCTGAAGAGATGTGATTTCAGGCGGTTACGTCCAGTTCTGAGGCGGAAAATGGCTTGTTCTCTTCTGGTTAGCTTGAAATAATCGTCATAGGGATTGTGATTTGGGTAATTGCTTTCCAACTCTGCCTTTTTGCTGCTTTGTTAATGGTTTTGCACTCCTCCAACCTAAGTATGCTGCTAATTTGGGGGAGCAATGTTCCTTCTTTAGCCAATGAGTTTACAGCGAGTCCTTTCTTTTGGGATGTATTCTCAAGAGCAAGAAAGGCTTCTTCCATTGAAGCTTTTGATATCCAAACTATATTGAGATCATCTACATATCCTAGTATTTGTACCATGACAGGTTTAATGAATTTCCTTGTTGAACCCCATTATCAGAAGTAAATGCTTCAGATAGATTCCCTTGAACTCGCACCACACACTCAATATTGCTCATTGTAAGTTTTACCAGGCAGTTAAATAGGTATTTTAAATATCTTTCATTGTCTGATACAGAGGTTCAAGTTGGATGCTATCGTAGACTGACCTAAAATCAACTAACAGTTGGTGTGTTTGGATTTAATATTCTCTTCCTTGCTCTAGAATGGTTTGTAAGGCGAATATTTGATCTGTAGTAGACTTCTCTTTACGGAAGCCACATTGATATTTCTCAACTTGAGGTAGCAATCTTTGAGACAATATATTTATCTTTTTAGTTGGTGTTATATGTATTTGTAGTTTATAGTTGGTAGAATATATTTTTTATATTTGAAAAGAACTTGTTGATTCCTAGCAGGAAAGAGATGCCTTGATAATTATTGCCTTTCAACAGATCTCTCTTCTTATGAATAGAATATAAAACTGTGTTATTCCAAGCTGTCGGAATCCTTTCCTCAATCCAGATCAGAACAAGAAGATTGTGTAATGCTTGGAGTACCTGATCTCCACTTTTCTTGAACAATTCAGCAGACAATTTGTCAAAGTCTAGTACCTTGTTGTTTTTTTAACTTATCAACAGCGTCCCACACCATTCCTCTTCATATGGAGGCTAGAGTTAATCTTTAGGAATTCAATTAAGATCAACTTCCTCTTCCAAGTTTCAAGTTTCTCTACTTCTTCAACAGTTACTGGGTCAAAACCTTCTTTTTCAGTGCTATTTGTAAGCATATCATTGATAAATTAATATCCTTCCTTTTTAAATAATCCAGTGAAATACTTAATCCATCCATCCTGTGTGATAAGGTCAAGTGAATTTCTTTGGTTTGAGTTTTTTATTGACCTCCAGGCCTCCTTTGTTTTCTGGCCATGCATGCAGCTATTAACAAGGGTGTATTTTATTTCCCAGTAATTATTTATTTCTTAAATTTCTTCTTTTTAATTAAAAAAATTAAAGTCTCTTTATGTTTTACATTCTTGCTGCCTTTTTTATATAACTAAAAAACATTCAGATCTCTAGTTGAGAGCCATGTAGAATAAAACTTTTTCTTCTTATCCACTGCCCTCGCCATTTCTTTGTTCCACCAATATCTTTTTCTTCGTGGATACGCTCTTATTTCCTCTAATGCTTCTGCAGCAGCATCATGTACAGCTTCTTTTATTTGATGATATTCTCCTCCTGATTCATAATCGGTTTTTATATTTATGTTTTGTTTTAATCAGTTCTAAAAAAGCATTTTGACAGAGTTTGGTGGCATACTTTGTTTATCTGTGGTTTGGGGTTATTTAACTCTTGTATTTTTGGATAGGCAGTTGCTGGATATTTAAACAACATTTCAGACTTCAATAGGAAATGATCCATTCCACACTCAGGTCCTCCCATGACTCACATCTAAGGCTTTGAATACTTATCATTCCTTAAAATGGTGTAGTCAATAATAGATTTTATTTGTATAGTCGGCTGTTTCGAAGTGTATTTGTATATTTCCTTATGTCTGTATTTTTAGTCTTTAGGACTCTACTATAAGAAAATATTTCTTATCTATTCTAAAGTTTTTAAAAATGATAGATGTAAACTTTTGATGTTACATAGTCATTTAAAAAAATAAAAATAGCTACTAGTGATTATGACAATTAAATGACAAAATAATTTATTGATGAATGGAAAATCTTTCCCCAATAATTTTGCAATGCATCCTTTTGTATCACATGCATTACCACTGGCACTTCGGAAACATTGGGGGCTGTTGTAAGAATGATATACATAAAGTAGCCCAGTCATCAGTTTTATTACTGTAATATAATATAATTATTACTTGTATGATGAAAATCTTTTATGAGTCATTTCTTTAAGTAAACGACTGTGTAATATTGTAAAATCAGTTAAACTTTGATCCCCTTCATAAAATATTTGGAGGGGGGAAGTGCCTTTATCCATATTTTGTTAATATTATCTCTTAAAATTAACATTTCATGTAATAGAACCAGATTAATATAAGGTTCACATTACTAACTAATAAATAGCTTACAATTAGTCAAAACTTTTTAACTATTTCAGAATTAAAAAGCTATCCATGCTTACCTGTTGGTAGAGACATGGCATCTTCATAAGCTCTGTTTTTATTATAGTAAGATCTGAATTTAATTTCATCTTGAATGTCTCTATTTTCATCCAGATATAAATGTTTTCTTCTTGGATAACCACGACCTCCAGCAAAAGATACACATGCTAAGTGCCCTCTTCCTGTAATATTCAATTACATATTAAAATATATATATTTAAAAACAATAAATAATGTTAAGGGATTGAAAGAAAGAAAAAAAATATCTTTCCTCCACGTAATATCTTGTTTTTACAGATTAGTATCACAAAGTTTTCAGGCATAGAAAAAATGACTTTATTAATGGTAATGATTGTTTTTCAAACATATACTTTGAATCCTACAATTTATATCCTGCAATAAGCATAACAGAAGGCATTTAATAATCCAGCATTTGCCATAAGGGATGCCATAAGGTTAATGCCATGAGCATTAACCTTTGTTAATTGATTAGGGTTTTTGAACTGGATTAATAGGGTGAATTGAAACCTTTTCAAGAATATTGGTTGTATGATAGTAAAGGAACACATTATAGCTTTATTCTCATACATCTAATGAGTTTATTAAAATTATGGGGAACTGCATGCTTGATAACTGAAATGCAAAATTTAATTTTGGGGAAAATAAAATAATATTATTATTTTTTTCCTCTAATGACCTAATTTATCCTCAGTAGTCATTACAAATTTTTATAGTATGTTTTGTATATTTTTAGGCACCTTCAAAATATAAAATTATTTTCTCATATTTAATATATTGATGGTTGAATAGATCAATGAGACTTGATTGATGGTTTAAAAATAGCAATAAAATATTGATTTTTATTTAATCATATTAATAATAATGATGATGATAATTGGTATTCAAATTATATTAATAAAAATTAATGGTGGAGAAATTGCTGACTTGGGATCTAAGGGAAGGGCTTTTTGGCTGAAGCCCTCTCCCCAAAAATGATAAAATGTAACCATGTTTAATGGAAAAAAATATTAAAAAATTATCTCTTAAAGTGTTATTGTTCGTGTAATTACATTTAATAAGACTTCAAGAATCACTTAAACACCATTTCATATAGGTAGTTAGTATCTTTATTTTTTTTTCCAAAGTAATTATCGTTATATATATATATATATATATATATATATATATATATATATATATATATATAACGATAAGTAATTATTGTTTTATATATATATATATATATATATATATATATATATATATATATATATATAACGATAAGTAATTATTGTTTTATATATATATATATATATTATATACATATAAATATATATAAAAGAAGAGCTTTCGGGCCGAAAAAAATTAAATCCTGGACCCACTAGTGCTTTGGATAATATGGTTGGGAAATATGGTAGTTGAGGTCTGCAGTCACAATGAGAAACACAAATAAAAATTTTAAAACATTTTATTTTGTACCAATATTTTAATAGGTTAAGCTATTTTTCAAACCTATTATATATAATTACTATTAACCTATTAACAAATATTTGTTATCTGCTTGAAAAAAAATTCTAAATTCATTTCTTAGAATTCATTAGCAGATAACACATATATATAGTTCAGTGGATAAGCCAGTGATTTTCTATACTCAAAGTCCTATGTTCGAATCCGGTTGGTGCTATGTAGTTATTTATTGTTTCATCAACCATGGATCAATTGTTTGGTCATAAGACCCACCCAGCTGGTGCACCCAGCCTCCAGAAATTGGGTGCTTTTAGTTAAATAATTAATTAGGAAGAAAAACCTGAGAAAAATTAATTAGGAAGTGTGATCCCACCCAGATCACCTCCCTGCACAACCGTTGGTATTGAAACAGTACGTCTTTACAAAGTACTGAGGCTGATACTCTTCATGGATTGTAATGGTATAGTTACTTTATTTATATTTTTTAAACATATATTTTGTTTTCATATCTTTTTATAATAGGTTCGTAATAATATTTGTTTGGTTGTTTTCCTCAGCTATGATGTAGGCTTGATACAGACCTTTACGGCGGCAAAAAATAAATTATTTTTCTTTTTATTTGTGTTTCTCACTGTGACTGCAGCCTTCTACTAACTTTCCAACCAATATGAATTAATATTAATAAATAGTTCCCGCTATTTAATGTGATTCTTTACCATTACCCATGTTTTCATAATTTCATATAAGTTTACTGAAGTTATTATTTTTCTAAATATTAAGTTCTACCACATAATAAAATCGTTTTGGTTACTTGCTTAGAATGTTCTTATATGAACCAAGCATTCACAGTTTTATAACCGTGATTAGCACATATAAAATTCATTACAAAATTTAATGAGAGCTCATCAAATTTTATTTGTTAAATTCTTTTAGTATTTTACTAGTAAATGGTATAAAATTTAGTAATTTTGAAAATAAACTTATTCATTAACAAAAATTACTAATATTACATAATGTTTTAAAAGTTTTACAGAAGACTCTTGTGAAACTATCATAAGTAATATATTTTCTTAAAATTTGTACCTATTGTTCGTGCAGATGGTTCATTATAATGAGACATGTTGAAAATGTCATCTGAGACAGTGTTATAGTGACGATGAGAATCATATTTGTCATAAGTGCGGTGCCCATAATACCTGTAAAAATTAAAAAAAAAAAAATTAATGACTGAAAAACAAAATAAAGAAAAAAAAGGAAGAAGATGCATTATGTTCTGTGTGGATTATGATTAAATAGCTATGTAAAATAATTTAAATCAGCATAAATGACTATTGTTTATAAGGAGGAGATAAGTATGGAAAGGTTTGGAAAATTTTCTTTGTCTATTATCAGAACAAGTTTAATAAACCTCACCCTAGGCGCAGACTTTCAGGGATGAAGAGGGAGCCGATGGCAGCACCAATAAAAAATAGAGGAGGGAGGGGCGAGAATATCGTTTTGCCTGCCCCCCCCAATATTTCGAGGGAAAAAAATTAATAATAATTAATCTACATGAATAAATAAAATATGTAAACTAAAAACAATTACAAAAATAAGAAAAGTCAACAAGATGGCTAAGTTAAGGAATAGAAGTAGATACACAGGCATTTTACCATGCCCTATGTTCCTAATATTGAAATTTTAGTTTATATAAAAAAAATAATCATATGTAGCAACATATCCTAGAGTTTTGTGATTCATTCATGAGCAACTTTCCATTCTTACTTTTCTGATTTTATCACATTTCAATTGGAAAATCTCGAATGAATCAAGATTTCATTTAACTGCTTCAAGCATATAAATAAAAATATATAATAAATTTAAATGTTTTATTAACATACTTCCAAATATACATACACACACACACGTATGTATATATATGTGTATATATATATATATATATATATATAAAGTTATTTTTGTCTATAGCATTATATTGTTCGGTTTACAATAATTAGGTTTATTATGTTAAAAAACCTTTATCATTAACAATCCATGAAGGGTTATGGGTTCAGTAGAACGTGAGGAAGTACTGTTACAAGGTCAACGGTAGTGCAGTGAGGTGACGGGCCAATATCAAGCTCAACCGTTAGGTTTTCCCCCTTAATTAATTATTTAATTAAGAGTATTCCCAGGTCAGGTCAGGTTTGCGCCAGGAGGGTCTCCCGGCCCCAGGGTCGACCCACGGCTGATGAAAAACTACTAGTCATCAGCCGGATTCGAAACTGGGACCTTGAGCTCTGGAAGTCATTGCACACCCATTGAGATACCCCGCTCTCCTGATTATGTTAATATCACTTATAATTTTTATACATAATCTAAATTCATGAGACTTTTTTTGGGAGTGGGGAGGGTACATCGCCCTCCCTCCCCAACCAGAATGGAGTGTCTGCGCCCATGAATCTCACATTATCATACTAAAAAGGGTAGCATATTTTGAACTTAAGGTGAAATAGTCCGAGTTACTGATCCCTTTTTGTCAAATTAATAACATCTGTCTGAAATTACGTGAATAGCTTCATCATTTGGTAACCTATAATATCGACAATATGATAAAAAGGGGTCTAAATCGCGGACTAAAAGTTTTTCCCTTTTATGTTTGGTATTGATTTTAATTTTCCAATCATGGTACAAATTTTTTAGGGCAATGAATTAAGAATTCAGAATGGAAGAAAAGGACTATTATTCTAAAGATAATTGCTTCAAAAATTAAATACTGTCTGAAAATCTCTTTTATCTGATTATCCATAATCTTATGACTCCTATTCTAGTTTCAGCTAGGTGGAAAGATGAAACTAAAATTTCAAAATTCAATGACAATAAACTATATTATATATTTACAGTATAACCATATAGTTCATAATTGACGAAATTCTGAAAAAAATAATTACAGTATAGTACTTACGGCAGAATTTGCAGTGGGGTAGTAGTTCGGGGGTGAGGAACGGAAGTGTAGATGCGTTTCATTAATCTTTCGGTTTCGGCTCTTATAATTTTAGTTTCATCGTCAAAATCCTACAAAGTAGTTTCATTAACTGAAAATGATAATTATAGCTGACTACAGCTTTATATCAAACTTCGTTGTAGTTGTATATTCAATATTATAATTCTGATTTAGAGATTTTCTAATAATTTCTTTTTAAAATTATAATTGGGTACTTGCATGGAGAAAACATGTAAATTTGAGCTGAAATATAATTCAAGTAACAAATTACTCATATAAGATTAAGATTGCACTTTTCAAATAATAATAACAGGTTTATATTTAGTTAAACATTTGAAATATTGCTTGCATCTTGGAGGTATGGTGGGAACTTGAGGCGTAGCCACAGTGCACCGAGGCGTGACGTATACCACTGTCAAACATCTTTTTGTCCAATCTTTACAGACATTCATTTATAAAAGTTAATAAACTACATTTTAAACTGAATATGTGTATTCAGAGACGATAGGTAGGGTGAAAAAACGGAAAGATATTTTTTGGACGTAAATTTTGAAACTGGAAACACTATCCTAAGCCAAAAGGTATAAGATATCCGACAGTATGAGGTAGGCGCTGGCATGACAGGGTATGCCGTAGTCAAATATAGGCTGATCGGTATCATATGGTGAAGGGAGGGGGAGGAGCTTTTGGGCTGAAGTTTCCCTCAAATTTGAAAAGTGATTTTTTTTTTTTTCATTGGCCCTTATTTTTTACTGCGAGCGAGATACTTAAAACAATCACAATATGTTCTATTTTATTAATTATACTGCATATACATCTACTAAATATAGCCATGTCTTATGAAAAAAAAACAACCTAAAAGTATTATTGTTCGGGTAATTACATTTTATTTGTTTTAAATAGCGCTTATTAAACAATTATTTCGTATATGTAGTTAGTTTCTTTCTTCTTCTTCCGAAGTATATGTCTTTACATGTAAAAAAAACAAAAAACTTTCGGGCTGAAGGCCCCCCCAAAGTTAAATTCTGGATCAGCTACTGTGGCCGAGTCACCACTCTTTTAAAACGCTGATTATCGCAAATATGAGTAAGAAAAATTGGAGACTTTTTATTGTTAAAAGCTATTCTTCATCGAAAAATAAAAATTGAAAATTGACTCAAGTACCCAATTGATCGGAAAAATTTATTCATATTTCCATTTCTTTCAACAAGCATATGATTCATTTTATAATCATAAGTAATAATTAAATAATTATTTCACTCACAACAAGGGGTCGAGAGTTGAGGAAGTCTTCGGTTGGAACGTAGGACAGGTGTGGCCTGGATCTATGATGGATTCGGTCCAGCTCGCCAATAAGCACGGATGTTCGGATCGAAGGCTTCACCCTCCATGTTGTCACGCTTATTCGTGGTGCCTAAACACATTTAGTTATAGTTATTTATCCTCAATTTCGATTAAGCTATTACATTCGATAATGGCTCATCATTTCCATCTATTCCTATAAAAATATGTTGACGTGGTGATTTATGAAAATAAATTTATTCTGCTGATGAAACCTACAGTGGTTTAAAGAACATAGTATGTATGATTTGATTAATTTTTGGACTGATTATGGTCTAAGGGTGAAAATCTTGGATTATATTCCATAACCTTTAATAAACATAAAATAAAGGATAAAAAAACTATAGTATGGTAAAAATAGGAAACATTTGGTATGAAAGACTGACAGTGAATAACAATCGAGACAAGTTTATAAAGAGCAAAATACTTTTTTTTTAATCGTTTAATATATTTTAATTACAATTTCTCAAATTTTATATAAAATACCAACTTCTTCAGAGACATGTAGATAATGCAGCACTACACTAAAGTTTCCACTTCCAAATAGAGTTTTGAACTTTATTTCTATTATCTTTCTTTCTTTATTTTTTGAAAATGGAAACTCGACACGTTGGGATATTTGAAGTATTAAAAAATACTTTCTTGAATAAAATAGAAAAAAAAATCAAATTCTCGAACAATTTTTAATCTTAATTTAAAAAGGAGTTACAAAATTCAAGTTATATCAGAAAGTCAATGATAATACTGTTTATCATTTTAATAGGTTTTGTAATTGTAAACAGAGTAATATAACTTGAAACTCTTCAACCTGGAACGCAAATATCATAATTAATATTATGATATTTTTTTTGAAAATGGAACCTCAATACGTTGGGATATTTGAAGTATTAAAAAATACTTTCTTGAATAAAATAGAAAAAAAAAATCAAATCCTCGAACAATTTTTAATCTTATTTTAAAACGGAGTTACAAAATTCAAGTTATATCAGAAAGTCAATGGTAATACTGTGTATGATTTTAATAGCTTTTGTAATTGTAAACAGAGTAATATAATATGAAAGTCTTCAACCTGGAACGCAAATATCATAATTAATATTACAGCTTAATTATAAACATTGTATCGTTTGACCAACTTTGTGTATTTATTTAAAATTATTATGAAATTATATATTCTTAAAAATAATAAACTTGAACATTAGTGAAATACTGTTCTATTACTCAAGAAAGCATATTAAAAAAAAACAAGAAAAAAAAACAGTTTTGATGACCATTCACCACTAACAGTCACTTATGTAATAGAAATAATAATATTTATAATGAATGATATAATATATGATATGATATGATATAATATAAATTAGTAATTAGTGCATGCAGTAAAACTAGCAAACGTGAAAACACTTACTAAGTTTACTAAATAAAACCAAAAATATATATTTGTATGTGAACAAAAATATAACTTATTTTAAATTAAACTGGGTTAATACAAACAAGTGTTACTATCAAATTTTCCAAGCGTTATATTAAAATATGATCCGAAAATTTATAGGGACTCAATTGAACTAAGCTTGAGTGTTAATAAATTCAGTGGCGGGGAAATAATTTTTTTTGTTCTTATTAATTACCTATGCAAGCTGAAATAATAAATAGATTAAACTACTTTAGCCATGTCTTTTTTTTTCCCTATACCACTACAACTCATGAAGGGTCTTTGGTTCAGTAGTTTGTGAGGAAGTATTGTTTCAACGTCAAAAGTTGTGCAGGGAGGTGATTGGAACAAGGTCACGCTCAACAATAAAGTTTTTCCCCATTATCAATTTATCAATTAAGAGTATTAACTAATTAAAATGATTCCATTAAACCCCCTTCTGGGCACCTGTGTTCTAGACATAATCTGAGCAAGGCTAGAAAAAAAAAAGTTACATTGCTTTAAAAGGATGAGGAACGTGTTGACATCGTTTTACTGTTCATGAAACCGGATGTCAAGAAACAAGAAAGAGATAAATCTTTAATCCTCTGTATGGAGGTGATGAAGTAAAGTGATTGAATAAGGTTCATGGAAAAATGTTTAAAAGGCTTTGCTCCCTATTATCGGTTTTTAGATGTTGATTCTAAACACTATGAAACATAATCTCAAGATGGAAACTTTTTTTTTTAGGAATTTCTTCAATATGAGGTTTTCCACAACCAAACTCCTGCTTCAGCAAGTCTCTCCATCTCTGCCGGTCCATCGCATGATCCTCCGACAGTCCCCTACCAGCCATACTCTCCACCATTCTTCCATCCTTCAATGATGATCCATTATTTTTCTGAATAGGTAGCTTATATCCTCTTCATCTTGTGCAATTAACACCAGGTCATCAGCAAGTAGGAAATTACATCGATTTTTTCATCTTTACTTGACGTCCATTTGTCCAGATTTATTCATCCATCCTTTTAGGCATTCGTCAAGGTATATCTTAATTAGGGTGGGGAACATGCACCATCCCTGCAGCAACCCTTTTCCATTTTGGAATTCTCTGGATAATAATTTCCCTATTTTTATCTGGCTCATATAATTTTATGAATTTCTTTAATTAGGTTCACGGTTCCGTGGTCTATTCCAGCCTTTCTTAAATATTCGCAAAGGAGTTTGCGAGGCACACTGTCGCATGCTTTCTCCAAGTCAATGAAAATTAAATTTGGTATTTTTGATTTGCCCGTTTGCTTCTCTTATAGCTATCTCTGAGTGAAAATATGGTTAATACAGCACATATCTGGTGTAAATCCACATTGCTCCTCAGCTTGAATATACTGCTTTTCCAATTGCGCTTTTACTATTCTTCATAGCAATTTCATGAATGAGTTTGTCACACAGATGCCTCTATACTTTACACATTATTTTTTATCAACTTTTTTAAACATTAGTGTCAGATACCCTAACTTCATTTCCTGAGGTACATTTCTACCCTTTAAGATTTTATTGATTAGGTTTATGAGCATTTTAACCATCTCAGCTCTACCATACTTCAACTTTAAATAAAACATGAAAAACATGGATCGAAATAGACAAGAAAAAAAAGGTAGTTTGTTTTAATAAACTTCTAGGTCTAATTACTATTATTTGTTTTAAATTGTTAAAAACAATAAAAATAAAAATCTAGATAACATGTTTTAAAATTCGTAACTGTAATTAACTTAATTAATTTTCAGTTTTTGCCTAAATGTATTATTCTTATTTCATTGTAATTTTTATAGAGTTATCACCATTATTTACCAATTTCTCATAGGAAGGTAGCTGACCATGATAGAAACTTTTTTATAATTTTAAAATTTGACGATTAAATTTTATTATTCAAACTAAGATGTATACACAAACCTATTTGTATAAAAATGACCAAATCTGATTCGTTGAAACGTAACAATATGAATTTTATAATTTAATTAATTGTGCCGAGAATTTTATTTTTTTATTATTTCCTTGTGATAAACAGTGGACCGATTTTGAATCTATGATCAATTAATCTTTAAACAATATTACTTCCAGTTCTGTATATGAAATATATTAACAGAGAGTATTGTGATCGTGAAAAATTTCAAATCCGAATTTTCAACGAAAATACATGGTTTAAAGTTCTTTGAGTTTAAATAACTAATTCTGTATATGTGTCTGAGTGTATATAACCACTGGCGGATCCACTGGTGAGAGGGGGGGGGAGGGGACAACGTTTTTCGGTGAACGTTTTTTCGATCTTCCAAAATGGAAAAAAAAAAATTTTTTTAAAAGGTCCATATTTGTTTCTGTCAGTGATCTGGGCTGAATAATTATACATCCAAAATATTTTCTCTTTTAAAATTATAATGCATGTATTTCAGCTACTAAATGTAAGCATGGTGTTAAGAAAAAAAAAAATCTATCCCTAAATGCATTATTTTTCCTGTAAACTTTAAGAAATTAAATCATGGATCAGGTACTGAAACGAATAGTATAGATAAAAAAAAACTGAGGGACTTACAACACTGAAATTATATATTCAAGTAATTATATGTTTGAGATGTTGTAACAAGCTTTCTCGCTAAAATCTATTTAACACAGTTATGATTAAATTTTGTTTATATATGAATGACTTTCTTAAAATCGGAAATATTAATACAGGTCCCTATACTGATGTCACAGAGTTAATAAAAAAAATCTTAACTAAGACTTCGGATCCATTATTATTGCATTATGTGATTACATACATCATGTTAGCACGCCTGATACTGGTTCCAAGAAATATATATTTTTTAGAGCGGAACTGCTAATGTCATCACGTTCGTTGGAGATTACACTCGTAAGTTATTTCCTAGGAAGGTTTTCTTCCATTTTCGATCCTTGGCTATAGACAAAAGTGAGCCTGTCATAAACTTAGTGTTCATCAAGATATAAATACCATTTTAATTCCGAACAACACTAGCGGATCCAGAATTTAATTTTTTTTTGGGGGGGGGCTTCAGCCCGAAAGCTTTTTTTTCCATAAAAATGACGATAATTACTTTGGAAAAAAAGAAAGAAACTAAATATCTATATGAAATGGTGTTTAAGTGATTCCTTAAGTAATGTAATTAAACGAACAATAATACTTTAAGATATAATCTTTTAATATATTTTTCCATAAAACATGGTTATATTTTACCATTTTGGAGGGGGCTTCAGCCCGAAAGCCCCCCCCCCCCGTAGATCCGCCCGTGCCGAACAAGGTATTAGAAATTCTGATATTGGAATGCGCCTATATCCTAAGTTAAACAGGAGGCTACGAGGGGATGAGTGTCAAACCGGCACCAGTATTTCTGAGCTTCATTCATAAATATTTCTAAAAGAATCATCATTCATTTGCTTATAATATTTACATCATCAAACTGTTTATCGATAGGTTGCTTTTGGTTAAACCTTGTGACCCTCTGGATTTCGATCTTGTTTTCATAGTCACCTAAAGATGTAAATGTGCTGATGAAATATTCAAAAGGTCTTCCTCCTTGTTGTTTATTTTGGTATGGGCATATAGATCTAAAAACCTCTACGATTTCGGTCCTCGGTATTCTCATCCTATTTGT